GTTCGATTCCCGTACCGAATTGAAGCTTGGAACGAGGTTTTTCTTTCAAGTTCTCTGATTGTCTTTGCTTCGTTCTAACATTGCCGCCTCTCATGGAGTGCCCGCGGCAGCTCGAGGTTCGATTCCCCGTACCCGAATTGAAGCTTGGAACGAGGTTTTTCTTTCAAGTTCTCTGATTGTCTTTGCTTCGTTCTAACATTGCCGCCTCTCATGGAGTGCCCGCGGCAGCTCGAGGTTCGATTCCCCGTTCTTAATGCTTGCATTGACCTTTTTTTTTTTTTCAAGTTCTCTGATTCTCTTTGCTAGAAAAAGTGCACGCATGTTCTATTGAACACAAAAAAAGAATTCGGGAACGGGGAATCGAACCTCGAGCTGCCGCGGGCACTCCATGAGAGGCGGCAATGTTAGAACGAAGCAAAGACAATCAGAGAACTTGAAAGAAAAACCTCGTTCCAAGCTTCAATTCGGGTACGGGGAATCGAACCCCGAGCTGCCGCGAGCACTCCATGAGAGGCGGCAATGTTAGCCGTTACACACATACCCGATCCTCTCGTTGTCGCTAGCGATTACCCACGGCAGGAATAGGCGCCAACCAACAGCGACAAAAAAGTTTTTTGATTCTTTGCACTCATGACCATACGTCTTCAGGAAAGCACAATTTCGGCTACATAGCAAACCCTGATCTCTGAGCGCTGACCGACCTCCCGCGAACATTGCAAGGTGCAAGGAGGCAGGGTTGGCCATTACAGCATAATCCGATATGGCAATACCACCATCCCGCCTGGGTCAGCGGGACGGAATTCGACTCACAATCTGTATATATGATGACATTATGTCGGCGAGAAATTAACGGCCAAGCATGCGTGGGGTAGGAAGTGAGTTACCGGCATCTGGGCATGAACAACAATGGCAATTGAAACCATTCGCTACATTCGAACCTCTAGACGAGAAAGTGTCTACAAAGCTTAGAAAAGATTTATCACAAGGTACAACATTCTAACCGGAAAATCAAACTTCTATAGGAAATATAGCGGGCAAAAAAAATGGACCTTCTAGTGTCTACGGCTACAGATCTGAGTAAGAACTTAAAGAAGTCTACATAACTTGAGATAACAAAGAAAATTTACATTGCTATGTTATGGTGTAAACCGCTTGTTATGTAAATGAGGATGGTGAGGAAGGGACGATAGAGAAAGTCAATATGTCTGTTTGAGGAGGCACAAAATCGAGTCACATACGCAGAACGAAGACGGTCAACCAAGGTGATAAGTGTAGCCAGGGTACTGGACATTCATCTCAACAAGAGCCACCCTTGCCGCAGCTTCTCTAGCGCTAGGCATGTTCTTTCCAGAGCCGGATCCAAATTGAATACCATTAACTATAGAGATTTCCGCAGTTTCAGCATTGTTACATCACTGGCAGTGAGTATTCAAATATTCAAGACTGACTGAACACTGTGGCGATATGTGTGCCATCATTTCGCCTGCCTGTATGAGACATTTCGTAGACCGGTGTGTTAATTCCTAGAGCCTGACAAAAGTTATGTAGGCGGTTTATTGCTGAGTTCTCTGAGCGCGGACAGTTGGGAGAATGGTCAGCAAGTAGCCAAGTCTAGAGAAATATTGTAAAAGACCCACGAGTAGTAGACATGCAGTATGCAAAGCTTTGAAACGTTTGCGTGAGGAGTGCGGGAGAACAGAGAATGTGAAAATATGCAAAGGAACTGTATTTTCGTCGGTCTTTTCACTCTTGTTAAATACACTTGACGATGTAGCCAGAGGTCCCGATTACCATACTATTTGTCCGAGACCATAGCATAGTTGCGTCAACATCGTAAATGGTAATGCCCTTTCAGCCCATTTTCAACACCGAAGAATGGAGGGTATCCGTGCCCTGTATCTCCAAGTTGATTTAGTTGGACGGGATTAAGCCCCAGTAACCATTGGGAGCGTTATAAACACGGCACACAGTACACCATGGACCTCCTTCATCGCCTCCAGCTCGGACAATGTTCCGCTATCCGGATCATATGATAAGGTTAAAGCGCAGAGCTGGGCAGAAGTAGCTCAAGCAAACATGAATGGTAATGCCGCTGAAAGTGGCAGAGAAAACTAGGAAGGGCATGGGGTGTACATGCCCATAACGGTCATTTCCCTAACGGGGAAAGCATGATATTTTGCGTCTACGACAGAGCTTCGTGGACAGTGGTATGACGAAATTACATTCTAGGAACGTCTTCCTTGTCCGAAGCTAGGTCCATGGGCGGTTTAGTAACCCTGCATATCGCACGAGGGACTACAGTGCACGATGGGAGGAAGAGGGCATCGATAACGTCTAGTATCCATTAGGGTTTGGATGTGACCGCCGACTGATCAGATGTATGTAAGGCGCTAATGGTAGCATGGGCGTCTATATTCTCTTATTTCGGCCCCGCATACCGATCATACGCTGTACACTGCCCTAGATATTAGAGTGCATGCCAACACGTCAGGAAGCCTTTTTCATCGCTGTTACGAGAGCAATCACCGTGCCATGCGGAAAAAGCATAAAGCTGCAGGTCTTTGAATAAGTAGAGCTAGTAGAAACGGTCGGTTTGCGCTCTTGCCACCGCGGTAAAGTGCATTGCACCTCGGACTCGCAGCTGCATAGAGGTATACTTGTACGGACATGTCGGCCATAATTCTGAATTTAGGGCAGCGGAATTTTAGATCCAGCCATGTCCTTGCGTGGCCGAAGGGAACACCGAGCCGAGATGAGTATCTGTGAATACCATTCTGCCCTCCCAACGAGAATATCATGTCACAATTCCTTTGCTTTTGTTTTCTTTCGTCGTCTCCTTTGTAGAAGTTAATTTGCTAGCGGCCTGACATTAGCCGTATTGATTCGACGAGAAATGCGGATAACTTGACTCAAGCTGGCGCTGTTACAAAAGATTGGAATGAGCAGGATTATGCCCAAATAGCCTGTAGTCTTCCGACAGCATTTCCTGCATCGCGTCTAAGCCTAAGCCCTGTCCGCTCCACCCAAGAAATAGAAATAGGTGACCCGCACGACCGGAAGGGGTTCAGCACCAGAGTATGATTCACATAGATTGAACGGCCATTTAGTCCACCTGCCAGAACAGCAGCAGACTGTGAATGTCCCTCGAATTCCGAAAGAGTGTTTACATTTGGGGATCGATAGAGTCAGTTGCAAGTCCAAGCTTCTATCTGAAGAGTCAGGAAGACACAACGCCGTTGTCCATTTCAAGATCAAGCGTCGACACAAGTACTGCAAGCAATAATACGACTAGAACACGTTAAAAGGGGACTAGTACAGGCGGGGATTGTGAACGCGAGGACGCTGTTACAGAAAGTATCGGAGAAGACAAGATATTGTTGTCAGAGTAAGGAGAAAATCGGACTGAAGTTTGAACGCCTCAAACTTACGGATAAACCCGGCTAGGCTCTGACCTGGGCCTATCATAGTAAATTTGGTCCCCGTCTCCTCCCAATTACAGCCTTCAAAATCCGTTGAATGTGGATCAAACGTCTTTTCACGTTCAAGTCGGAACTACGCACATAGAAAATTTCCCTGGTGCATGCATTGGTTGGGCCTATGACATTCGAGCCATTACCCCCTGGATGGCTCCTGATGCGCAGTTTGCAAGCTCTGATTGGTGAGAGAATTTTACTTACGAATAAAGGGAAACCTTATGCAGTCAAAAAACTATTAACCCTACTTTCCAGACGAGAGAATACCCCATATCTAAGACACCCAAGGCCTTGAGTGAGTGTTCTCGGCATCCGCCGCACCCGTCTCGACTCTCGAATCTAACTGCTAGCAGCGGAGGACCCTCAGAGGCATTATTCTGGGGCATCGTTAATGGGTCGGTCTGTTTTATCAAACTCTCCAGCATCTGACCGATTCTGAGAGATAAAATTCGTTGAAACTTTCAGACAGCCTCGCAGGATGCTTGGGTGGACGAAAACACACCTTATGCCAACAGTATTTATTGGTGTTAAATATATCTCGCCATAAGGAATGGAATTCCAATTATCGGAAACATGCCCATTCCGCCCTCGTAGTATTCTATCGAAAGCTCAATTTTTTCCTGTGGTATGCTGAAATTATATCCGGACGCTCTGAGATTAGTCACCCAATCCAGGCTGTAGAAACGACCTTCAAAGCATCTGAACAAAGTTAAGGATCAGGTCCACAGTTTTCCTTTCTCGTTCTCGGAATCATTGTCAGTTGAAATCTTTTTTTGTTCGTTCTCGAAATCAGTGCCCTTCAATTCCATTCTACATCTATTTCGCACTGGAGGGTTTCGGTACGACTTCATCTCAGCACTGCGGCATAGAAATGTACTGATAGGATCTTGAAGCTTTGAAGTATCATACGGCATCGTAGACTTCGTTTGAGTCAGCCAGCTTCAGCCGTTACATGATTACATCTGCACCCCGAAAACAGAGGGAGAGGACGACCTATTTCTTTTCTGGCTGCCGGGACCAGTCACTGAAATTTCAAGGCCTTTGATATCTCTACATCTAGGCACCCATCCTAAAGGTATTCAAATTCATAAAGCTGCGCGTCCCAAGCGCGTCCAAGTCAGTAATCCGCGTCGGAGTCAGTAATCGTTACCCTACACATTGTACTTACAGTACCCGCGCTCGGAGCTTCTTATCTTTCCTTGACATTGCTTGTACGTAAGACCCTGCATCAATTCCATCTCACAGCGCCCTATCGTTCCCGAGTCTGTGCAAATATTCAGGGAATTTTTCCCATTTTCCTGAGAAATTCGTCTTCGGTTTACTCTGACAGACATGCTAAAATTTCGGTATTTGGTTTTATCCATGAATTTAATATTGGCCGATTGGCCGTTATGGGCAGCGTTGCAGCCGTACTCAGAGTGTGCTCGTGCGGCAGGCGCGGAGGCATAGAAAACGAACGCCACCGGACCATGATCAAAGCAAGAACGGGAATGTGTCCTTATGCAGAAGATGACGACGCTGGAGTCGACCTTCAATGTTATTCCTTTGGGCATGTAGATATTTGGTGTGTCGGTGCCGCGGAATCGAGGCAACTGAGCGATGCCTATAATGTGGTACTCCGTTTCTTAGATTATTGGGGCAATTAGCTTATTAGGGCAATCGTACCGTAATCTTTATCACTTGATCGCCAAAAGCCCAGAGGCGGCACCGTCAGGGTCAGGTTTCGTTTGCGGACCTCATGGTAGTCGTGGGTTACACGGGCGTTGGTTGGGCGACACGAGGGGTTATTGGGAAAAGCGAGATGCAATTAGAGACGGTGTATGGTTTGTGAAGAAATGTAAGATCGTAGCAATTGTGGTATGGTGTGCGATTGAAAGATATAATGAAAAGAAATAGGAGTGTAGATAACAATTTCCGGTGTCCGATGGAAGAGAAATGTGACTGAGTTGAGTGATGTGGGCAGAAAAAAAGGAAATCGAGGCATGCTGGTGAGATGGAAAGGGGAAAAGTAAGCCTAGGATGGGCTTGAAGTCGTTCAAAGTCGTGTTCAGGTCCGCGATCCGTAACAGCTA